GACTAGACCATCTTAGTCGCCCTGAACTGTTTAAGTATCCAAGGTTTATATAATTGTCTATACTTAGTCTTTTGAGGTAGCATATAGTTGAGCCGATCATCTTCAGCTCAAGACTCAGCCTGCCCCTTCATACCACAAGTTTATTCTTAGTTAAGTACTCTCTTCAGTTGGTGATAAGCTATAGTCAGGCCACCCGAACTTATGGAACCCTGCCTAACTAGCCTGTTCATAGATAGTATAATAGTAAAGTATATCAAAGTTATAGCCTTCTGGTTCAAGCATGTGCGAGGCGTTGGACCAAGACCACCCAAACTTATGGAACATGTCTTGGTCCTCAGCCTGGTTAATTTATCTCAGACCAAAGCAAAAAGAGGTAGAACCACCCAAACTTATGGGATATGTTCACCCCCTCGTTCAGAAACCAAATAAACTGTCAAAACCCCCAAATAAACAAGGCTGCCAGACTACCCAAACTTATGGATTTGACTCCGCCTGAAGAAGCAATCAGATTCAGCCCTCACAAGTCAGAGCAACCATACCACCCAAACTTATGGATTTATCTGGTTCTCCAGGCAATACAAAATAAAACACAACACTGGGCCTTCCCAAACTTATGGAACTGGCCCAGCCTTTGGTTGACCCAGTCAAACTTCATGCAATACTGTCTTTCTCCCACCCTTCCCCCAGATGCAATCCCACAATTTGCTTTCAATCAGGCAAAGAAGTTGAAACTGACATTATACATGCCTTCCTTTACTTTGTCTGGTTAAGTCCTGAATAGAAACAAAAATTCATAGGGACAGGCATGCATACATCAGTCAAGCCATAGGGGATAAGCAAACATGGGCGTAGTGGGGTATACAGATAGAAAGAGATTACCTGATGGTTTCCTGCCTCCAGAACCTCGCCTAGGTTGCAGCAGAGCTCCCGCAATCGGTGGGCTGACTCCCCACAGAGCCTTGATGCGGTCCCACGGGTTGCAATCCCGCCTGCCGCCTTCCTCTCGTAACCAATGGACAAGACTTAGAGTGCGAAGGGCAGAAAGAGGTAGGTTTGAGACTCTTAGATCCAAGGGGGGTGCACTCAGACTCACATGAGAGGGCCTTGTTATCTTCAGTCGCCTGAGGGCCCCGCAATGGCAGCTAACTGGCAGCTTGAACAGCAAAGTCAAATTGTCGAAGTGCCCCCCCCCCCCCGTGGCGATCCTCCCACTCGCAGCACCAAGTTCCCTCCCTCAGTCCAACTACTCCTCTAAGACCAACGACATATGCCTACCACTATGCCCCGACCCTCAGGTACTGTGGCAATACACAGTGGAGGTTAGCAGTCGCAGCCGCCACCCACAACCGCAGCCTCGCCCAGTCTCAGTGGTAGTCCTCAACAACGGTCTTCGCCCAGTTCGTTGTATCACGAGTACTCAGTGGGGGTTACTTAAAACCAACAGCCTGTGTCCTGTCCACAGCAGTAGCATATAGCAGCGTGCAGCAGCCCACAGTCATTGGTAGTGGCACACAGCGGCCGTCGCATGATACGATTGGCAGAGTCCTAGCCAACGGCCGGGTTTTCATCCCTGCGGCTTGCCCCCTCTTTACTCAGAAACAATAGGCTGAGCAGCTCGTCAGTCAGCCGGAAATTCAACAGTCTCCGCAACTGGTCTTCTTGCGGCACCGGCTGATGGAATGACTGTCTGCCAGTCAACAAATAGACCTGTAATACCACAACCTTTCTCCTTGGTTGGCAGGCGAACCATTAGTAAGTAACTAGTAGCTGATTTTAGTGAGCCACCAGCACTTTTCACCGCGCAAAATGCCCATACTCAGACATGCATTTTTGATGCAAGTACATGACTATTGACTATAGCGACAACCCATGTGCAGCTTCTCATAGTCGAAATAAAAATCAACTAAACTCTCAATTACTGTAAGCAGGGAGAGCCAACACCTGATTAGCGACAGACAACTGCGTACTGAGTGGGTGAAGAGGGGACGAATCTTCTACTAGTATCCAAGCACCTGCTCGTTGTCGTCCTCTGGGTGAGGATGACCCTTCTGTTGAATCAGGGTCAGATTCCTGTAGGTAGGTAGGACTCTCTCCCTCTCTTTCTCTCTCTCTCTCTTACTAACTCCACCACGAGATCAGAAACACCTCGGTTGGGTCGGAGGTCCAATCAAGGTGACGCAGGTCTCGACCGTGTAGACAAATCTTGAAGAGGGGAATCAGGAGGGAGAACAACACCTTCAAACAAATGGCACAAGTAGCGCCCGACCGTCAAAACGTGCTAACGGTTTTCCTCCATACCAAATCCTTTACTAAAACAGGAGAAAAGAAGAAAGAAAAAAAAACTATATATATATATATATATATATATATATCCTAAAAAAAAAAAAAAAAGAATCACAAAGTAAAATAGAAAGTGAGAATAAAACTCCCGCTAGAATTTCGTAGCAATTGCGCAGTTCCCACACCTTGTCCCACCAAATCCGTTACTCCGTCACAAAATCCGACACTGCCATTAGATTCGCAATGGCCAAAAACCCTGGATTAGTATTTTACATCGCTGAAAACGGCCACGAAGTGACCAAGTTATGGCAATTTTACTCCCAATCTTCTCCCCTCTCCGCCATAGCTCCGCGCGGCTCTTTTTGCTTCTACCCTCTATCCTACTCACCTTTCATTAGTTCTGTCGTTAGATCTGGGTTCGCCTTATCCCCAACCATAGAGTAGCACTTTCTCTCGACCAAAACTGTCGAGAAACGAATGAGGAATTCACTTTTCCTCCCACCACCGTCACCTGCGTTTCTCCTCCATGCCCACCTCCGAATGCACCCAACGCGACATGCTGTCCAGGTTCACCCGGCCTTCTCAGCCACCCCGTGGGCTTCTCCTGTATGCATTTCGAGCCACTTCGGGCCCAAGTTCCGTTTGCTCTCCTACACAGCCACCTTCCCGGCCGCTGCCTGGCACCGCCTTTCCTCACCCATCCAATCCGCTATGTGCCCACTTTGCTACCTGCACACCGCCGCCTACACCACTCTCCCCCCGCACGCGCTCAGTGCCTCCCCTGGACCGGGTTTACTCCCATGCCATCGGCTTGCTTGCGGCCCAGCTCCACTGCCTAGCTGTGCATCGCTCCTTACCTGCGCTCCCTCTTGTCTGCCTCGCATCCCTCTCTGGCCGGCGCTTCACTCCCTGCATCAGCCACCCTGTAGCGAATACGAAGGTCCAGCTCAGTCAGCAGGCAGTATCCCCCCCGCCTTCCCCTCTCGTCCTCTTCGCCAACTCCCTTCCCCGTTCCGTCTCGTCTGCACTCAGCTATTTCAGTCGCAGTGCACTGTTAGTAGTATAGCATCGACCTCGTCGTGCTCACCAACAAAAAGCAAAGGTCGGGCACCTCCTAATTTTATACACGTCGGTCTCGCACCGGGGCCATGCTACTCTTCTCTGTATCGTCCCAATTTTAACAGATGTTCCGAAGGACCGTTCCCCGACAATAGTGCCCCAGCAGTTCGTGGTGCACCCATATAACTAGGCTGATGGGTTCCCCGGCCGGTTCTGGGACTAGTACTGGACCAAGCCCTGTAACGGGAAAAATAAAAAAAATACGAAATAAAAAAATACAATAATAAAATAAAATAATAAAAAAGGCTTAGGAAAAAAATTAAAGAGACGGAACAGGGGGAGGAGGACCGTTGGTACTTGGTCCTACCTCACGGGCCCGCTGCCTGATTCCCCTCAGCAAAACCAAAAGGGATAGTTTCGGGGGACCCTCAACCTCTCGGCCTTTTTCACGCCGCTCTGCTGCTCCGCTTTGCTGCCTGCTGGCCTCGATCCCCGTATCTCCGCTGTAACAATCCGACATCGTAACCTATAGGGCTAAGCCCGAGCCTGGTATTGGCCAGCGCGGTATTCCATATGAACAGGTGCGGCGCAGCCCCCAGGCCTCATTCCTATCTCCCATTAGACATGCTACTGCTAGGCTCCTACGCCGGCTTGCCCTCTTTGTGCCGTGGCCGCCCCGCACCCTACTTCGCACGTTAGACTACCAACGGTCACCTATCCCTGCCAAGGGCACCTCTGACTCCTAGTAGCCAGAGTCAGGCCGGCCAACTACGCCGGTTGCATAAACTAAAGTAGAAAAATCACACGAGCGCCTTAATCCCGCGCGCCCACACCCGCTTTACTTTAATCAAGCAACTTACCTATGTAACCAAACAGACCTAGGTGTGTCTCGCGCAGTACACTTTAGACCTCTACTAGCTTACCAAGATTTATACAAGACCAAGTATGAAAAAGATCCCAGAAACAATGCAGAAATCGACCTAAGTAAAAAGAAACGAGCCCAAAAAATGCAGGAATTGTCTCAACTCCTATGGCTCTAGCACGTGGCGAGCAACTACAGCGACTACCTATCAAAACCCAAACTCAGACTAAGAAGTGGCATCACTCAGTCACATGCAGGCCAAACCACAAACATGCACTCTCTCACCATCCCCAAGTCACCTTAGCAACCAATAGTTCGTAGTCTTTCAATGATTTATCCCTTATACCCAGCTTGCTGTAGTTTTGGGTCCTTTTTTTTTTTTCATTTCTTCTTTATTTTCTTTTTTTTGCAGTGCCTGGCTACTTTTTTTCAGAGTTAGACTGTTTTATCCCTTTACACCACCACTACTCTTGGGGCTGCTGCTGCTGCGGGCTGAGCACAGGCTACTAGGGTCTACTACATGTGGAGGCAGACTACCGCGGCTTCTGTTACTGTTGGGGCAGCTGTATATTACTGTTGTTTTCTTGGGTCGCCGTTGTGTACAGTGGCTGTTGTCGCTAGTCACCGCTGCACACTGCTGCCGTTGTTGCTACGACTGTTGACTGCGCACGGCCTACTGTTGCTGTTGTCTGGCCGCCACTACATGCTGCTGCGGTTGACCATTGCTGCTACATCAGAGGAGACCCACAGCTGCGTTCGGGTTGCCACGGAGTAACCAATCTCGCTGTTGCACTTAAGGGTTGTGGGCGGCCTTACCGTCGAGCAAGCACCCCAGTATATAACGATGGGGATATTGAGTTATTCATGGACGAGTTCTGGGGCCACGCTGACCATATGGGGTGGACCGTGACTCAGACGATCGAGAGGTTGAGGGGAGTTGGCAGGTTTATGGAGCCCATCGCACAGATTCGCAGGGAGGCTCGAACGAGGTCGGAAGTGGAGACGCGGATGCAGAAACTGCGACCGTCGCCTGTGGGGCTTGATGGCAGACCTATTCGGCTAGAGATTGGGAATGCAGAGGAATTCATCCCAGCATTCGAGAAATTCATGTAGAACCAGGGAATACTGCGAGGCGAGTGGATGACGACGTTACCCCTGTGGACCCGAAAGGCGGAAAGACGCTTGGCCAGACAGATCAGGGACATGGCCCGAGATTGGGATGGTTGTAGAGCGCACTTGAGGGCGGCATTCCGGCAGCCAGAACCACCTCAGCCTAGAGTCGAAAGGCGCCTTAGGAGCGGCAGGCAGAGGGAACCTGAGCCCGCTGAAGACCGAACCTCGCGGAGAGGACGGAAGGCGCTTGCTAGGCGGAAAGAGGAGGACGTGCCTGAGGCAGAACGACAGGAGGAGCACCCCGAGGGTGGACTGGGGCCAGTGGAGTTCCACCACTATACTGGAGGAGGATTGGGGGGACCGCCTCAGCATATACAGGAAGAGATACCGGTCGTTGAAGGGTCATTGCAAGAGTTAGAGGCATACCTGGACGCTGCCCAGTGGAGAGAGCCACCGATGAGTGAGGGGCGCATTGAGGCCATCGCGGAAGTACCACAAAAGAACGTTTCATACCCTGAACAAGAGGAGGGGCCGAGTGCTACGAAAGACTGGATTGGGGATGAGATCATATAAGTTGAGGAAGACACTACCCCTCAGGGACCAGCCGTGGGGCGGAGGGTCGGTAGTCCACTCGAGAGCCCGCCAGATACGAGGAAGAAAGTACAAAGGGAGGAAGTCTCGATCTCGGTGCCAGAGACAGCCCTATCGCCGACAGGAATGGAGGCAAGTGAGGCGGAGGGGGCCAGTCTGAGAAGGGAGGCAGACAGTCTGATTGATAGCCATCTGGCCGCCCACGCTCTGGAGCAACCTAGCCTGGAAGAGGTCATACCTGTGGAGTCACCCCGGGAACCAGGTCAGACCGAGAGAGAGGTGGAAACGGGGGTCCCAGGGGAAGTCGAACAATGCACGGTAGAGGAAGTACCAGCTAAAGAAACGGCTGAGGAGAAGCGGGCTAGAGTGGCAAGAAGCTGGGAGGAAATCCAACAGGAGAGGCAAAGATGATTGGAAGCAGCAGGGGTACTCCCAAATCCGCCACCACCCTATAAACCACATGGGCTCTGGGAGATGTGGGGAGAGTTTCTTGCTCATCATGGCGAAGGGTTGACGACCCCAGGCAAGGCAGAGGTTGAAACTTCACAGAGAGTTGATGAGTATTTGGATCAGAGGATTCGCTCCGTATCCAAGGCCTCCTTCGACAGGCATATGATGTTGGAGGCGGATCTGAGAGGGAAGCAACTGAAGGAAGCAGGGTTGGAGTCACGGTTGGTGACTATTGAGGCAGAAGTCCGAGAGCTCAGGGCTCTGGTGACTAGCCAGGCCGCCACCATCCTGGAATTGAAGCAGCAACTCCATGGCCGTAGGGATGGGGTAGCAGGCCAGGAGAGCGGAGGCAGCTGGGACAGGACGTATCAGAGCAACCAGCCGCGGCTGAGCCTCAGCAAGAGGCACCTATGGGAACAGTCATTTTGGAGCCTGAGGAGGCAGAGGCCAAGAGGAAGGCTGAGAGGGAAGCCTTCGAATTCAGAGCCCCTACGGAGCTTGCGATGCTGCCCACGATGGCTGCGGACCCTGCCATGCCATCGTCACTTGGGAAGAGACTGCCCTCGGCCAGTGATGAGCCTCCCCAAGGCTCGACAGGAGGGTCCTTGGACGTGCTACTGGAAACAATCCACTCTATGCAGGAGGATGCGGGCTTGTTTTCACCAGAGTCCAAGTTAGAAGAGCCCCTGGAGAGCGAGATGGGAGGTGCAGTGGAGGGCATCATCGCGGGCAGGCCCCAGAAGTTGGATACTCCTGACTATGAGCCAGAGAGAGCAAGGGTGCAACCAGGGCCCAGTCCGCGAGAGTCGGAGGCAGGATCTGAGAGACCCCAGGGATGTGCCTCAGTGCCATGAGTTGGACGGAGAAGCCAGGGAAACCCCATCGCCAGCAGGGCCCCAGCAGAAGAAGAAAAGGCCTAGGAAGTCTATTGACTCGACCTGCTTCTATTGTACGAAAGAAGAGCACAGGACATTGCAGTGCCTCAAATTCCTAAAGGACCAGGCAGACGGGAAGGTCTCAGAATATGATGGGAAGATGTATGATAGGCAGGGTAGAGTGGTGGAACGAGCTGTAGATGGGGGTAGAGCTCAGTTGTAAAGGCAGAACCAGGAGGAGATGAGTGAGTAGGGTCTGGTTCACCTCAATAGAAACTGGATATTTCTTTGACGATTTTGCTATTACTTAGGCAGGGTGGACACCTACAACGTTGAGTGTGCAGATGGGACCTACGACATGGGATGACCGTTGTAACTAGGATCATGTAAAATAGGGAGTGTACACTAAGTGACAGTAGAATGCTGAGTGGTTTGGGGACTTTTTGTGCAGATAACCATGTACTATATTCAGGGTGGTGTGAGTTGTTTTGTGTGGGTCCTGAGATGAGGTTATCCTGTGTATTCTAGGATGAGATATCTCGTCCCTGAGTGTATATTTGAGTTGAGTGAGGGTTGAGACTATCCCTTGTACATGACGATCACTCTCACTCTCACATGTGTGGTTTGATCCTGATATGTGGTGGATGTTGGATGTATGAGTGACATCTTGAATATCGTGTATCTTATGAATGAAATGTATGTGAACTGCCTACCCTTCGGTATACGTGGGCGCTTTGCCTGCGGGCAGGTGACAGGGCCGGGTATAAGGAGGGGAAGCGCAGTCTGTCCTTGTGAAAGTGTGAGAATCCTAAGGGATTTGTGAGTCCTTGAGACTCAGGTGCTTACCATGCTGAATGTATGTTGTTGAGTTGTGATGAGGACCCATAAGTTGGTCTCTCAAGTTTGAGTTGTGCTATGGTAGGGGTGCCTGGTTTTTTGAGGAGGCAATCCGCTGCATGCTGGGAGACCTATGGAGTGAGACCTCCCTCGTATGAAGGGTGGTTACCAGATCGGTGGCATGGGAAGCAAGGTTGGTATGATAAAGCCTGACGAGAAGGACCATGTTTGTTGCTTGGCCACTGTTGAGAGTTTGGAGAGGTCGCAAATAGTTTCTTTTGGGAAGATGTCACTGGGATGCGTGGCTTCCTGCTCTGATCAAGTAAGGAAGTCACGGCCTTGTGCAACTGGCGGTGATTCTGTTTGTAAATGTGGAGAGGTTGCCACGATCCCCTGTGTTGTCTCACTGAGGGCTGGTAAATACCTTTTATGTGTGACAAGCCTCTGCGTAGTCCCGCGGTGGGCCTATATTGTTGCGACCCACCGTCCAGCCACATGTGCTAATCCGGGAACATGTATGAGAATACCAAGCTAACGGTACAGTTTAGCATCACTAGGGCGCAACCCCTAGTGTCGGCTGCTGATCGGCACAACCTGACCAGCGGGCCTACATCGGGCCTAGGGAGTAAAGACTTAAGGGGTGTGGCCACCTAGGAGGGTTTTACTCCTGCGGACCGGCATGGGATAAGGGTCGAGTCGAGTCTTTTTTGAGTCCTGATTGAATGCTTATCAGGAGAAAGCCTATCGCGGCGCAACCTGCGAGGGCACTACCGATGAACTAACAAGCGCGGTGGGCCGTAGACCTGGCACGATCGCCCAGACTACGGTGGGCCAAGATGGAGACCTAGCCTACCTGTACTAGACTGCAGGAGGTGAGTTAAGGTGATTTATATATATATATATACATATGTATATATATATATATATTTGATTGTGAGAATTGTGGGAGGAAGGCGAAAACGCCTTCTTAGGTCTCGGTTAGGGTCCGCGCCCTTGGTCGAAGTCTTGTTCGCAGGATACGGGCCAAGGGCACCTAATGAGAAGCCGATGGTTGTCTAGGACAGAGGGGAGAGGATGGGTAAGAGGGGCCGCTGAGACTTATGATGTAGTACGTATGTCTAGTACACCGGCGTCCTAGTGTCAGGACAATGGAGACCCAGGTTAGAACCCTGGCGGCATATAGTTACAAGGGCTTGGATCGTTGGAGGCCTCAACCCTGAGTCTGTCGGCTGATCGGATTGGTTCCTGTCTCGTCAGCATTTGGAGTTATGGAGGAATTTGTAGCTTTCGATTTGGCGAAGCGACGGGGACGTCGCTTAATATGGTCTGGTAAGCTGTCGGCGCGAATACCCTGACCGCCCTTGTTTTTGCAAGTGATCGGAAGTACGAGTAGAGGTCTAAAGTGTACTGCGCGAGACACACCTAGGTCTGTTTGGTTACATAGGTAAGTTGCTTGATTAGAGTAAAGCGGGTGTGGGCGCGCGGGATTAAGGCGCGCGTGTGATTTTTCTACTTTAGTTTATGCAACCGGCGTAGTTGGCCGGCCTGACTCCGGCTACTAGGAGTCAGAGGTGCCCTTGGCAGGGATAGGTGACCGTTGGTAGTCTAACGTGCGAAGTAGGGTGCGGGGCGGCCACGGCGCAAAGAGGGCAAGCCGGCGTAGGAGCCTAGCAGTAGCATGTCTAATGGGAGGTAGGAATGAGGCCTGGGGGCTGCGCCGCACCTGTTCATATGGAATACCGCGCTGGCCAATACCAGGCTTGGGCTTAGCCCTGTAGGTTACGGTGTCGGACTGTTACAGCGGAGATACGGGGATCGAGGTCAGCAGGCAGCAAAGCGGAGCAGCGGAGCGGCGTGAAGAAGGCCGAGGGGTTGAGGGTCTCCCGGGACTATCCTTTTTGGTTTTGCTGAGGGGAGTTAGGCAGCGGGCCCGTGAGGTAGGACCAAGTACCAACGGTCCTCCTCCCCCTGTTCCGTCTCTTTAATTTTTTTCCTAAGCCTTTTTCATTATTTTATTCTATTATTGTATTTTTTTATTTCGTATTTTTTTTTATTTTTCCCGTTACAGGGCTTGGTCCGGTACTAGTCCCAGAACCGGCCGGGGAACCCAGCAGCCTGGTTTTGTGGGTGCACCACGAACTGTTGGGGCACTATTGTTGGGGAACGGTCCTTCGGGACATCTGTTAAAATTGGGACGATACAGAGAAGAGTAGCATGACCCCGGTGCGAGACCGACGTGTATAAAATCAGGAGGTGCCCGACCTTTGCTTTTTGTTGGTGAGCACGACGAGGTCGATGCTATACTGCTAACAGTGCACTGCGACTGAAATAGCTGAGTGCAGACGAGAGGGAACAGGGAAGGGAGTTGGCGAAGAGGACGAGAGGGGAAGGCAGGGGGGATACTGCCTGCTGACTGAGCTGGACCTTCGTATTCGCTACAGGGTGGCTGATGCAGGGAGTGAAGCGCCGGCCAGAGAGGGATGCGAGGCAGACAAGAGGGAGCGCAGGTAAGGAGCGATGCACAACTAGGCAGCGGAGCTGGGCCGCAAGCAAGCCGATGGCACGGGAGTAAACCCGGTCCAGGGGAGGCACTGAGTGTGTGCGGGGGGAGAGCGGTGCAGGCAGCGGTGCGCAGGTAGCAAAGTGGGCACATAGCGGATTGGATGGGTGAGGACAGGCGGTGCCAGGCAGCGGCCGGGAAGGTGGCTGTGTAGGAGAGCAAACCGAACTTGGGTCCGAAGTGGCTCGAAATGCATACAGGAGAAGCCCACGGGGTGGCTGAGGAGGCCGGGTGAACCTGGACAGTATGTCGCGTTGGGTGCATTCGGAGGTGGGCATGGAGGAGAAACGCAGGTGACGGTGGTGGGAGGAAAAGTGAATTCCTCATTCGTTTCTCGACAGTTTTGGTCGAGAGAAAGTGCTACTCTATGGTTGGGGATAAGGCGAACCCAGATCTAACGACAGAACTAATGAAAGGTGAGTAGGATAGGGGGTAGAAGCAAAAAGAGCCGCGCGGAGCTATGGCGGAGAGGGGAGAAAATTGGGAGTAAAATTGCCATAACTTGGTCACTTCGTGGCCGTTTTCAGCGATGTAAAATACTAATCCAGGGTTTTTGGCCATTGCAAATCCAATGGCAGTGTTGGATTTCGTGATGGAGTAACGGATTTGGTGGGACAAGGTGTGGGAACTGCGCAATTGCTACGAAATTCTAGCGGGAGTTTTATTCTCACTTTCTATTTTACTTTGTGATTTTTTTTAATTTGTTTTTAGGACATATATATATATATATATATAGTTTTTTTTTTCTTTCTTTTTTTCTCCTGTTTTAGTAAAGGATTTGGTATGGAGGAAAACCGTTAGCACGTTTTGACGGTCGGGCGCTGCTTGTGCCATTTGTTTGAAGGTGCTGTTCTCCCTCCTGATTCCCCTCTTCAAGATTTGTCTACACTGTCGAGACCTGCGTCACCTTGATTGGACCTACGACCCGACCGAGGTGTTTCTGATCTCGTGGTGGAGTTAGGAAGAGAGAGAGAGAGAAAGAGAGGGAGAGAGTCCTACCTACCTGCATGAATCTGGCCCTGATTCAACAGAAGGGTCATCCTCACCCAGAGGACGATAGCGAGCAGGTGCTTGGATACTAGTAGAAGACTCGTCCCCTCTTCACCCACTCGGTACGCAGTTGTCTGTCGCTGATCAGGTGTTGACTCTCTCTGCTTACAGTAATTGAGAGTTTAGTTGATTTTTATTACGGCTATGAGAAGCTTCAGATGGGTTGTTGCTATAGTCAGTAGTCATATACTTGCATCAAAAATGCACGTTTGAGTATGGGCATTTTGCGAGGTGAAAAGTGTTGTTGGCTCACTAAAATCAGCTACTAGTTACGTACTAATGGTTCGCCTGCCAACCAAGGAGAAAGGTTGTGGTATTACAGGTCTATCAGTTGACTGGCAGACAGTCATTCCATCAGCCGGTGCCGCAAGAAGACCAGTTGTGGAGACTGTTGAATTTCCGGCTGACTGACGAGCTGCTCAGCCTGTTGTTTCGGGGTAAAGAGGGGGCAAGCCGCAGGGATGAAAACCCGGCCGCTGGGTAGGACTCTGCCGATTGTATCATGCGACGGCCGCTGTGTGCCACTACCAATGACTGTGGGCTGCTGCACGCTGCTATGTGCTACTGCTGTGGACGGGACACAGGCTGTTGGTTTTAAGTAACCCCCACTGAGTACTCGTGATACAACGGACTGGGCGAAGACCGCTGTTGAGGACTACCACTGAGACTGGGCGAGGCTGCGGTTGTGGGTGGCGGTTGCTGCGACTGCTAACCTCCACTGTGTATTGCCACAGTATCTGAGGGTCGGGGCATAGTGTTAGGCAACTGCCGTTGGACTTAGAGGAGTAGTTGGACTGAGGGAGGGAGCTTGGTGCTGCGAGTGGGAGGATTGCCAGGGGGGGGGGGGGGCACTTCGACAATTTGACTTTGCTGTTCAA